ATGCTCAGTAAATGCTGGCTATTTTCAATTCTATAATTATAAGGACTTCAGGTGAGAGAGAGAGAGCCCTGGGGGTAGGGATAGGTGGAGAGAGTATTTTCACTAAAGAGGAAAAGGAATTAAACTTACATCTTGAAGGATGAGAAGATTTGACAGGGTAGAGCTGGTTCCTTGGCTGGGACTGACACTTTAGAGCCTTCTCCTGGACTGAGGGCTGGGAGGCACCATGTGTTCAAAGGTACCAGGCATAGATCTGTCCTCTTCTGGGGTATGATTTCCACGGTCAGTGCCATGAAGCTCAGAATGTTGGGTTCTCCACATGAGGCTTGGGGAGTCTGGACTGCAGTCTGTCTCCATCTCCACCACCTCTTTCTTCTCCCAACACATGTCTTCTCCCAGTTTGTTTCTCCCTGCCTTCTCTCAATGGGTTCAAACACAGAACTCTTGGACCTTAAAATATGGGTGTGAGTTATTAGTTTGTTTTCACCATGCCTTTGAGTTGCTGAGTTAGAGTTGCCTAAATGATCCTCTTTCCTCTCTTCCCCTTTTCTTCCTTCCCTCACTTCCTGCTTTCTTTCCTCCCTCTTGTCCTTTTTGGGACAGTGAACTTTAACACAATGAGCCACACTGGCTTTGAATTCCACTTGAGTAAGTTTAAATTCCAACTCTCCCATAGAAGCATGTGTCATGTTTCCAAACATGAGTTTCCTCCTCTGTAAAATAAGATAAATAATTATACTTACATCATAGAAATCTCAGAAAGATTAAATGCACTCATGTATGTCATGTATTAGCATTTCTGGCCTTGAATAAAAGCTTAATTAATATCTCCCTTAGTTATTACTCAAAAGTCATTTGTTGAAAATTATGCAAATCTATATATATGTGTGTGTGTGTATGTGCATATACAGACATATACAAATTGTATAAATATGTATACATGCAATTACAAAGATATAGGAGAAGAGTTGTGGATACAGGAGAAGACCATTGAAATCCCCAAGCAACAGGCTCTAGCAAATGGAACCTCAAGTGTTTGTTCACTCTCTAACCTCCCCACACAGTATGAAATGCCATACTGATACTGTTTCTTTTAAAACCACTACTGATGCTCCATGGCCACAAGCACCCTAAAGCATTGCCCAAATCTTCCTTTCTGCTTCTACTTCCCACTGCAAAGCCCCTCACAGTGTTTGCAGCAAGGGAAGCTTAACACAGATTTCCCCAGCTGCAAGTACTGAGACAGAAATAAGTAGGCGTCAAATTGTGCAAGGTTTTGTATGGTCATCTCAGTTAGAAGGCCAACATCAGAGCACTGCCTTCAAATTCTCCAGCATTTGCCAGTAGAACTCAATCAAAGCTCCCCCAACCTGCCCAGTGCCTATGGTGGTCCAGTGGGAGCATAACCAATGAAGTCTTTTAGCCACATGAATGGTGAGGTCCAACCAAAATCACCATTGAAGAATAATCTGTATTGAGTATGAATTACTTTATAGTAAGAAATGAGATATACTCCAGAAGCAGGAATGACCTTGCCTGTCTTGTTCACTGTTATATCCTGTCTGGACAGCATAGCCCTTGACACCTGATGGCTGTCAATAAATACTAGTGAATCAACGAAAAAAATCAGTGGGTGGCTATAGGAAAAGGAACTGGCTTAACAAGAACTGCTAAACTTTATTGAATGTTTTGTGCCAGAAGCTTTAATATACATTAATTTATTTTTTACTTTGCCAACAAAGGTCTATCTGGTCAAGGCTATGGTTTTTCCAGTGGTCATGTATGGATATGAGAGTTGGACTGTGAAGAAAGCTGAGCACCAAAAAAATGATGCTTTTGAACTATGGTGTTGGAGAAGACTCTTGAGAGTCCCTTGGACTGCAAGGAGATCCAACCAGTCCATCCTAAAGGAGATAAGTCCTGGGTGATCATTGGAAGGACTGATGCTGAAGCTGAAATTCCAGTACTTAGGCCACCTCATGTGAAAAGTTGACTCATTGGAAAAGACCCTGATGCTGGGAGGGATTAGGGACAGGAGGAGAAGGGGACAACAGAGGATGAGATGGCTGGATGGCATCACCGACTCGATGGGCATGAGTTTGAGTGAACCCCGGGAGTTGGTGATGGACAGGGAGGCCTGGCGTGCTGCGATTCATGGGGTCACAAAGAGTCAGACACGACTGAGCAACTGAACTGAACTGAACTGAATTTATTTAATCCAAACAAAAAGAAATTAAGGTAGGCTTTACTTTATTTTGTTTGTTCTTTTTGTTTGTTTTGGTTAGTTTTGGCCACACTGTACAAGCTGGCAGATCTGAGGTCCCCAACCAGGGATGGAACCCATGTCCCCTGCATTGAAAGCATGAAGTCTTAACAACTGGACCACCATGGAAGTCCCTAGTAGGTTTTATTTTTATTTCCATTTTAGAAATGGCAAAACTAAAGCTTGGAAAAGTTAAGTCCCAAGGTCAAGACCATACAACCAGTTCTGTTGCTTTTCATGATCATAATACACAGTCTTAAATGCCTATTTTTGGTTTTCACCAAATAGTAACAGAAAAACATTCAACTTTGGCATTTCTATTTAGTATAAAACTCATTAAATAGTCCAGTGGTTCCACAATCAGGGTTTCATATACCATAGGACTCTGCCTCAGTTTATCCATTTGGAAGTAGAAATGATGAAGCCTGACTTTCTCTGGGAAGTTATGAGATTTAATTAGGGCAATGGCTATTAAAATGCTTTGAAGTTAGAAAGTGCTTTTTTTTTTTTTTAGAAGCACTTCCATGTTTATTATAGTTCACAATGGCGAAGATGTGGAAACAACCAAAATGTCCATCAACGGATAAATTGTCAGGGAATGTTTAACAGGAAGATTCCTATGTGCTGTTTCTCATAAATGCTCTGTTCCTTATCAGTGGAACAGCAAGCTGCTCCTAGGACTGAGGTCATTATGTGAGGCAGGCTTGAGTCTCCTTCAGTAAACATTCTCTTTATGACAATACTGCTTAGTCTCGATCCTCTTTCTTGAGATATGGATTGTCTCCTGACCTCCTGACCATTATTAATCCCTTGTTCCCTTGGTAACAGTTGCTATACGTTTGGTTTTCTGATCTTTATCATTGTCAAAAGAAATTTCTTGTACAACAGCCTATATATACTCACAGAAAGATCATTAAAGCACCTTTGCTCCATCAGAGCTTAGGTGTCTTTTTTATCTCCCCCCCACCCCGGCTGCCCCCCAGCTAATTCTCTGGAGTGTAGAAACCCCTCGTGCTCACTTTCCTGCCCAGGCTTCCAAGCCCCCCTCAAGAGGGAGCCCTGTGCCTTTGTGAGCGATGCAAGCCCTGTGTCAAGGGCTTTATTGGTTCTCTGCATAAGCCAGGGAATATCAGCCTCTTTCTCTCTTTCACTTTCTTATCGTCAACTCTGGACCACCAGGTTCCGGTCCATTAAAGGACCCCAACAATAAACGAATAAAAACATATATACACTAACAATGGAGTACTGTTCAGCCTTGAGAAAAAAGGAAATCCTGCCATTTTCAATGATACAGATTGACCTTGAGAACGTTATGCTAAGTGATATACAGCAAATATCATATAATATCCCTTATACGTGGAAAAAGCAAAACAAAACCAAAAACTGAGCTGGAAAACATTACAGTGATGGTTACCAAAGGCCAGGGGTGGGGTGAGGGGATGGGAGAGATGATGCTCAGGGGTATACACTTACAACTCTTAGACAAATGATTCCGAGAGATCTAACATAATGTACAGGGATTACAGACAATAAAACTATATTATAAACATTAAACTTGCCAAGAGATGATATCTTATTTGTTCCCACCACTAAAAGAGATGATAATTCTGTGGCACAACAGAGGCTAACTGATGCTACACTGGCAATCATACTACAGTGTAAATGTATCAGATAAATATGTTGTACATCTTAAACATACATAGTTATAGGTCAGTTATATCTCAATAATTAGTGGATAAATAAATAAAAATGAAGCCTTAAACAGTTTTAAGTAGTAAAGTAAAATGTATCCATTCATAAGTGTGTCCTTCTGTCTTTAGATTATGATTTTAGACAACATTTTTGTATCCTAATTTAAATTTTAAAGGCTTCATAAATCAAGGCATCACCAAAGATGATGTTTCGTAACAAGTAACATTTGCAGAGATGTTCTCAAGCTTCCAGCTTTCCTGGTGTGGCATGGCACACATTGAATATTAATTCAGGTGTTTAATCTCTAAACACCTCCCTTGCCACCCAAAAACAAACAAACAAAAAAAACAGCCAATAAACTGTCATTGGTTTCTCAGGAAAACCAGAAAAAAAGTCATAAATACATTTCTTGGCCTGTTATATCTACTTATATTTTTCTTTCTCCTTTGTTTTTGTTTTTTAAATATTCCTGTGGTTGCTTTTTCAGTGCATAGTAAGGGTAGAGCTATGGTTGAAGATTTTTGAAACTGCACAGTAGCCACTGGTTCTCTCTCCTTTATAAATTCTCAGATGCAATGTCCTAGGATGGATCCATTTCCTATATGACTCTTCCAATGACAATAAGTGATGACTGATCTCAGAAGATTTTCTCACAGCATATGAACAGTTATTTCTCTTTGGTATAATTCCTCAGAGTATGACGCTTCCTCTGTTCAGAAGATTTTCCCCAGGAGTTACATTCAAAAGGTCTTTTCCCAGTATGAGTTCTCTGACAGTGCCTGAGACAAGTTCATATGTAAAAGGCTTTGGCCCATTTCTTATGCTCAGAGGGTTTCTCCCCAGTATGAACACTCTGAGGCTTGGTAAGGAATAAATGAAGGCAGAGGGACTGTCCACATTCACTGGATTCAGAGCATCTCTCCCTCATGTGAGCCTTCCCATATGGAATCAGGGAGGAGCTATAACGAAAGGCTCTCTGATACTTCTTATATTCAAAGGGTTTTTCTCCAGCACGGATCCTATTAGGCCAGACAAATAAGGGTGAATGAAGGCCTTTCCACATTCACTGTACTCTGGGATCCTCTCTTGTGAGAACCCTCACAAAATGAGTGAAAAAAGTTGTCACAAAAGCTGTACCCACATACTTTGCACTCAAAGTATGACTGTCTTTGGAGTGGGAAATGTTACTTGGAACAAAAGCAGAGCAGACACAAGATACTTTCCCACATTCTTTGCATTCATAAGGCTTCTCAGTGTGAATGTGCTGTTGCTGCATAGCCTGACCACTCCTGTGGTTCTGCTGAGCATAAATCCTCATGTGCTGACTCGGGCCCACCCTCGGGAGAAAGGCACATCAATGTTTGTTAAAGCTATCCCACATTTCTTCCACTTGCAGAGATTCTTGCCTGCGTAGATCATGGAAGCTTTCCCTGGTGCATGTGAGTTCTGTTTATGAAAAGCATCTACCAGAGTAATTGTTCCAGTAATTGCTGGAGCGCAGACTGTCACCTGTTCTCACACCACCGTGTTCACAGCTCATCCTCCTGAAGACTCTCCTTGTGGGAAACTGTCCCTGGGCTCCACAACCCTTCTTGCATTCCTGATTTCTAGTTTGCTCTAACCCAGAGTCCCAGAGTCAACTGACCCTGGAGCAACATTCCCTCCAACAAGGGCCGCTGAGAGGCAGAAAGCTTTATGGCCTCAGTTGTGCTTTCCAGCCCAACGGGAATCCAATGCCCAAAAGGACCCCATGGCGATAACAGCAGAGAATAAGCTCCTGACATGCCTGCTTGGCTTCTCCCCATGGCGAGGGGCTGGGCGCTGGCCGGGAAGTTCTCTGCACCCTCCCTGCAAGTGAAGGCTGTCTCTGATGTACAGGATCCACAGTACTTTACAAATGAAGCCTGCGTTTTCTCTTCTGAAGACTCCATCCTACCACTTCTGCATCTGGTCGAGGTTTACACTACACCCGAAATCTCTCCCCATGATTCACCTGCGGGGAGTTCCCTGCGGCTCAGCCAGGGGCCAAACTGTCTTTCAAGACTGGGCCACACACGTCTCAGGGGTGAGCCGTGGGGGTGGAGGGCTCAGCCTGGGCAGCTCTCGTCTGCAGCCGGCTCACAGGAACCCTCTGCTCAGAAGGTGCAGCCACACCCTCCACTCCGGGCCAACAACCGGGCCTGGGCCTCCTCCAGGTCCTCTCTGCTCTGGCCGGAGCAGCGTCCACCTCCTCAGGCCCCCCGGGCTGCCCTCCGGCTCCAGCTGGGTAGCCCCATGAGACCTGGAAACTGCAAGTCCCAGCGATGACACAAGTGCAAAGTTCTCCAGCATCACATCGCGGTACAGGAGTCTCTGAGCTTCCTCGAGCAGTTCCCACTCCTCCCGGGAGAAGTACGCCAACACATCCTCGAAGGTCACACAGCCCTGCGCTGGGTTCATCAGTGCTGCCGCACCTGCCACTGCCACGGACACAGCGGGAGGAATGGGGCCCCGCGAGGCGGGAGGCCAAGACAGGCTCACCTCGGGCTGCGCCTCACACTCCGAACCTCGTTATAATATGATGTCAAACAACAACAACAAAATGACGTCAAATGCCCGAGAGGCCCAGGCCGCCGTCCTCGGGGCCCTTGGCGACAGAGCGCGGGGTGGAGGCCTGCAAAAACGTGCAGTCTCTGCGGAGACTGGCAAACGCCAGGCACAAAGTCTCCTGTCCCATAGACGGAGACACAGTGTCCCGGCGAAGGAGCCGGGGCTGGGGCGTCACGGCTCCGATGAGGCGCGGAGATAGGCCCGCTACCTCGCTGGCCTTACCCGCCAGGCCCTACAGACAACGGTCCCGGAGCTGTGCTCCGGTCCACGTGATCCAGAAAGTGCTTGTTAATATCAGGACTCATGATTATGTTTCCAAATAGGACATCCTCGTCTTTAAAAGCCAGTTGCCTGGGATGAGCCTCAAGGTTCCCCTTAGGGAATGGTAAAGGGAACATTCACGTTGGATGCCTAATTCAGCCCGTATGGTTTTGCAGTGATTCCCTAAGTGAGGAGGAGAGCAAATGACATATGGTTTTGCAGCGATTCCTAAGTGAGGAGGAGAGCAAATGACCCCATCTCTTTAACTTTCAAGTGTGGGGACATTAGAGTTTGCTCTTTAATGACTATAGCATTCAGGAATGTTGGCACCTTTTCTTCCTGACTTCACGTTATGAAACCCAGGGAGTGTTGAGTAACAGGATGTACATTCATGCCATTTTCCGTTTCTTTGGGGGTTCATTTTGGGAAACCTTTCTTCAAGCAAGAACTTCAGTGGTTAGGCACGGAACAGCCCTTTAACCTCAGGGCTGTTGCCTCCAATGTGGTGTAAAGGTCCTGGTGTGTGGAGTAAGAGTTGGATCCTGCTCCTCGTCAGTTAGGAGCCATTGTTTGCAAATGTGTTCCCCGATGGAAAAGGATTAGATCCCGGACAGTAGGGAACATTACATTTGTATTGCAAAATCTTGGTATGATCTGGTCTTGAGGCTGATGGGGATTTGATAAAGAATTCTTCTTGGCTGAAAGTATCATCACTGGGCTCAGCATATTACCATACCCTACCCCACCCCCATTCACACTGCAAGGCAAGATTTAGAGAAACCCCTCTGGCTCTGTTGGAGTAGCCTCCCGGCTGGAGGAAAACCACAGGACTCGGATCAGAAATCTGATTTTGCCTCCCTTATACATTACCTAGGGCAGGTTGCTTTAATTCTGTAGCTTAAGTTTTCTCATGGGAAAATGAGGACCATAATTCTTGATTCTCTTTATCGCCCAGGATATTGTGATTATCAAATCAATCTATCTTGGGATTTCCCTGGTGGTCCAGTGGTTAAGATGTCACACTTCCACTGCAGAGGGTCGATCCCTGGTGAGAAAACTAAGATCTCACATGCCACATGAAAAAGAAAAAAAAAAATTTGACTATTAAAAAAAAAATCAATCTATCTCTAGCTATTACCTTATTTATTGATATACAGTAGACTGATAGATTGAAAGAAATATAGGAACATATAATAGATAGATAGATAGAAATATAAGAATGTATAGAAATGGAAGGCAGACTAGCTTGGTGACCGTGACAGAGATTCTAATTCTGCATGGCCCTGGGAAAGTTACTTAACTTTTGTCTCAGTTGCTTCCTCTGGAAAGAGATAAAAATGACAATATCCATCTCAGAGTGTTATGAATATTAAATGAGATGATTTATCTTGAAGCACTTAGTTCAAAACCTGGCACATTGCAAGCTCTTACTACATACTAGCTCATTCATGGTCAACAGCTTCATTGTTAAGAGAATGATTAGAAAATTATAAAAGGTTATACACATGCAGAAAGTATAACCATCTTTTAAATTTTCTCTTTATTTTGGCAAAAAGCAGTCCTGAGGCTTACAAATTGTCCTTCGGAAAAATGAATTATTCACCAGGTTATTGGCCTCAGCACATTTCATCCTCAGCAGGAATAAGAGAAGTGAAAAATCTGCTGGCTGCAGCTGTGGCCCACTTACGGGGGTGCACTTGAGGAAATTCAGCACAGTGAGAAGCTGGCTGTGACTGTTTCTTGTGAGGTCAATGTCTTTTGCAGAAGTGGATCAATGTTGAAAACATGCCTGGAAAGTGAATCTCTGCAAATTGAAAGCTATCTTCTTATGAAGTTTCCATATAAATGTACAAATATGTTCATCCAGAAAAAGGGACATATAATCACTCTGGGAAACTTAGCTGATATTTCTAGTCACTTCTTCAATAGAAGAAATTATAAGTATGTGCTAATAAGATGACCCATCATTGCAAAAGAACGAGGTTTTCCTTTCAAGGTGGTAGCCTGAAATCTGAGAGAGGTAATTCATGTTGAAAGAACATCAGAGTCACCTGTGGATATTTAAAAATACGTAAGTGCCCAGTCTTAGCCCTTGTGCTTCTGATTCATAGGTCTGGGTGAAGCTCAAGATTTTTATTTTTTGATTTATTTTAGCTCTACATACGATTTTTATGTGGGCTTTACTGGTGACTCCATGGTAAAATATCTGCATGCTATGCAGGAGTCACAGGAAATGCAGGTTCGATCTCTAGGTTGGGAAGATCCCTTGGAGGAAGGCATGGCAACCCACTCTAGTATTCTTGCCTGGAGAATACCATGGACAGAGGAGCCTAGCAGTCTATGCCCATGGGTTTGCAAAAAGACTGCGACTGAAGTGACTGAGCACGCACTCATGCGGGATTTTTATGTACAAGTGAGAACCACTGGAAGGAAGATAGTGACATCCTAACTGAATATTAATAGAACCCAATCATTAATTTAATAATTATTCAACTCTATTCCTCTGCCTTGACTTATACCCACATTTGGCTGTTTGCATCCTGTTTTCTAGCCCTTATTTTAGAACTGATTTTTCTTCCTACATAAACCTAATGAGAAGAAGATGAGGTTAGAGTGGGAAGGGGACAGGTGACACGTACGAAGAAATGGAGAACAGAATCCTAGTTAGAACACACAGAGGAGTTTTTTTTTTTAAATTTTCATTGAATTTTTATTTATTTATTTATTTATTTTTTTTTTTTTCATTTATTTTTATTAGTTGGAGGCTAATTACTTTACAATATTGTAGTGGTTTTTGCCATACATTGACATGAATCAGCCATGGATTTACACACACAGAAGAGTTTAAAGAAAGTGGAACAAGACTGTCTTTTTGGAACAAAGAAGAGTAAGGAATTCTGAAGAAAGAGTTTCCAGACAATGACTATGCAACTGCTGAGTTATGAAGGCTTGACCTCAGAAAGATTTCCTTTTACTCATTCAAGATTGGCAAACACACAGACACATATACTCAAAGCAGTTTCCATAAAGAGTAGAGAAGGATCAGCATGCAGTAAATGTGACTTCCATGGATAACCTCGTGAGCGTGCCTGTGTACAGGTATGGTAGGCAGTATCCAAGATGGCTGCCATCAGCGCTGCTCCTCACTTCCAGAGGTGAAACCTTGAATCTAGGCTGACGTAAGTGATTGCTTAACATATGGAACGTGGAAGAAATGATGTTCTGGGACGTTCAGGACCAGAAAAAGCCTCAGAGCTTCTGCCTGAATCTCTTTGAACAGTTACTCCTGGGAGGTCTCAGAAACCCAGCGGCCATGCTAGGAGAAACCCAAGTGAGGTGGAGATGAGGAGTGTCAGTGAGTCCTGGTTGGCAGTCCCTGCTGAACTCTCAGCCAACAGTCAGCATTAACTACCAGCCAGATGACTGAGCCATCATGGATGCTCATTTCTAACCCAGTCCTTGGATGATTGCAGCTGCCCTAGCATCCTAGCCAACATCAGAAAAACCATAAGAGTCACTGAATCAACTTCCTGAAGTGTGAGAGATAATCAAATAAGTTTTAGGCTGTTTTTTCATATGAAAACTGGGCGGGGGGTGGGGGGGGAAGAGGAAAAGAAAATGATTGCCAATCTATATTTGCCGGTATTGGGGAGATACTAAATTGTTGATTTTCTGTAGTTATCTATCCGCCTGTCTATTTATCCATCTGTCCATACATTCACCTGTTCTTCTACCCACCATTCCATCCATCCAACTAGCCATCTAACAGTTACTGAACATCTATTCTGAAAAGAACAGTGAGAAACACAAGTTTATTTTTTCATTCAACAAGTATTTAATTAGAATTTACTATTGCTAGATATTGATCAAGGCCTTGTAGACAGATGAGAAAATGAGTTGAAATCAAAGGAACCAGACAAAATCATTACCTGCTCATACTCCAGTGAAGAAAGATGGAAAATAAAAGAGGTACCTAAATAAACAAACAAATGGTGTAATTTAAGTGAATACTATAAAGGAAATAAAACACCATTATAGAATAAGATTTTCTGAGGTACCAGGTTAGTGTGACTGTTGTATGTGTATGTAGGATTATTAGAGAAGGGTTCTTTAAGAAAGTGGCATTCAAATAGAGGCTTGAATGGCAAGTACACAGCTATGTGAAAAACTGGGGTGGCAGGAGTAGTTTCTCATAAGAGGAAACACAGTGAAAGCTCTGGAAAAGAAAGGAGATTGGTATGGTGTAGGGACAACAAAAAGACCAGTGTGGTTGGAACAGCTAATGATTAAGGGAATGGGAGAAGGGAAGATGGAGAAGTAAGAGGAAGCAGGATCATGTGGGCTATCATGGGGATTTTGAATTTAAGTAAAAATAAACTGTTAAGCTCTTGCTTGATTTTAAGCAAGGGAAGAGTATGATCTGAATGCATTTGCCACAGATGTAGCAATGTAGAGAA